GCCAGACAGATTGTAATTATATTTAATTATCAGTAATAATATTATACTAGCTTTTATCAGCTATACGATGTTTTCGGGCAATGAAGAAGTTTCTCGTCCGTCATATGATATTATACCTCTGACTGAATTGAGCAAGCAGCCATTCTTTGATGTGATTGCCGAGGAGAATATATTACTGTCATTCGGTCACCGTCCCATCTTACTACGCATGGGATGAATCGGTGCATCATGGCAGATAACTTTATTTAAAACACCCAGCCGTTGGAAAATAGTCTAGCTTGAAATGAGTGAGGAGGGAGGAAGTACATGGCATTGTCATTCTTATGTGTAGAACCGTTACAAAGAACGCAGCACATTACCATGTGCAGTTCAAGGCAATCACGATGATATATGGTTGTTAGTGACGCAAGGGTGATTGATAGCAGAATAGCACAAAAACAACAGTTTGAAAGTGATTAAGAATATTGTAAGGATGCACAGGAAACTAAAATTTTGTGCACTAAACGTGCACAAACCAGATATATGTAATGAAATCCTGCCTGTGAGGTGAACGTGCTATGAAGTGGAATTTTGCCATTGGTGAAATTCTGCTGTAAAAGCTGGTACAATTCTAGGGCATGACTGCCTCACGAGATTTTCGTATTGAAGGGCCCGCAGGATAGTTCGTTATAGGTATCGTTCTCCCGTGGCAGCATCCTCTTCGATAGGAGGGGCTAGAAATGACATGTGCAATCCATGCAAGGCGACGCTCTGCCGATGACACGGCATGCAAAAGAGTGCGATTACCATGCACTGAAGGTAGTCTGAAATGAAAGAAAGACTAATAACAAACCGAAACAAATTGTATGTGATTTGACACGATAGCCGCTATTGGGTGAAAAACAGGATGTCTAAACTCGTGATTAATTGAAAAAGCTTGCTGCGTAATGCAAGTTCGGAGAGCTTTTTAGCATCTACGAAATTTGCAATGATATTGTCTGACATCCTTATTATCTTGAAAACCCACAAAGCTTTCCAAATGATGCAGTAAAAAAAGCTTACGCTGAAACCATGTTGATAACATGTAAGTAGATGGTTATTTGTTAGGAACCTAATAAATAAAAAAATTGGAACATGGTCTGAAATGTAAGGAACGGTAAGCTCTTCTTTTGTCATTTACCAGTACAAGTGGAACACATTCTTTAAAACCCTATGTGTGCAGATCACACAAACGCATGTGTGCGTATAAGGTCAAGCCAAAAAAATATTGTGATGGAGAAAGGTGTGCGCTGCACAGTCACATGTCATTCACGCAGCGAAAAAAAAAGAAGAAGGCACTCAGCTTGTTCAACTACAAGTGGGAGAAATTCAGAAGCTTTTGAATTTCTCGATTATATAAGAGAAATAAGATTGATAGAGGCTTTGCTGTTCCCGACAATCTGTTGGTGTAATATTGTGGACTTAAGTAGACTTTTCTTTATAAACTTGTCGGTTTAGCTTATATAGGGTATGTACGAGTACGTTTTTTTTTGATGAATATACATCTTACAAGATCAGCTTAAATAGCGACCTCTATATAACTAAATATTTGTGTATATGCGTGCCACTGAGTGTTGCTAAATTAACATGGCCCTCTAGTTGTGCCCCGCCACGGTGGTCTACCGGCTGAGGGACTCGGCTGCTGACCCGCAGGGTACGGAATCGAATCCCGGTTACGGCGGCTGAATTTCCGATCAAGGCGAAAATGCTGTAGGCCTGTGTGTTCAGATTTGGGTGCACGTTAAATAACCCCAGGTGGTGTAAACATCCGGAGTCCTCCACTACGGCGTCTCTCATAATCATATGGTGGTTATGAAACGTCAAACCACACGTATCAATGAAATCAACTGAAATATTATTTTCTGTGAACTTAGGCATCGTGTCACCGCAGGCTGCCCTCGTGAATTCACTCAATTTTATGCGTCTTGTTTGTTGCTATGGGAGACGAAACAACGAGCACAACACCAAAGCACCCGGAACTGTGGTAAACTATTTAATTTTCTGTCACACTGCATGGGACTAACGAAGACCGGGTTCTTTTAAATATAATTTCTACGTGTAGGATACGTTGACATCATGCCATGCCAGTACCTACATTTTAGTATTCTTAGACAATAGCAAGCATAGTTCGGCTTCAAGCAAACAAACAAACAAACGAATGAATAAATAAATGAATAAACCTGACAGACAATTATCAGCAAGAACTTCACGGGTTTTAGGAAGCCCGCAAAGAAGCTAAGTGAGAGAAGAGGTTGAAGTGTTCGAACACTTCGTCTACGTAAAGTTAAATGTAGCGTATCGTATTATCGCTTGCACACATAGCAATCAAGTATGTTGCTACACGTTTTTCTCCTTTTACTTCCACCGTGTTCAGTTATCACCTGCGAAGACATTCACTGACGCTGAGAGCGAACCACGCCTGCCGCGTTCTAGAAGCTTCAGGATAGTAGTAGATCATTTTGTCGAGATTTCGCGTGACGCCAACACTCAAGCTTATTCCAGAACTTGCAGGACCACGAGTGACTAGGCTGGAAATTTCAACGTGTGATCTATAAAAGACGGCACGTCCTAGCGATGATCAGTTGATGGAAGGTCGACGCTCCCTTTGCCGCTATCAGCGCCGGTGTATATTGCTGTAATCTAAGTCTCCGTTTACCGGCCACAAGTCCAATTAAACAGTTTTGTCTCATGACATACTATCTGCTCTCTTCGGCCAAGTTACGACCCCGTTACAATACATATATGGTCGCAAGCTGACTATAAAGTGCAGCGTAAATTGATCCAAGTTACCGCAGTTGACTCTCGCATATATGACTTTAATGCGCAAAATGCAGAATATCTTAGTATCATTCACAGTAACTAACTACTCTTCATATCTATCACTGTTGATGCTACAGCTCAGCTACCGAGCTTCATGTGTTCTGTAGAGGCTCAAGGGTGTACTGTACTCATGGGTGTACAGTTGAGTCACGTGTACTGTAGAGGCTCATGGTGGACGTTTTAAGGAGGTTTCAAAAAATGCCTGTGCCGCCATCTACCAATGCATTGGGAAGGGGTCTACTTCTGCAACACTGCACAAAAAGCGTTGAAGTAGAAGCTACCCGTAGATCCTCACGGCCGTGCAGGTTTTTGCCATAGAGGACGATGATGAACTTCAGTGCGATCATATTACACTTGTTAGCCTCCCCGGTTTGTGGAACTCGAGCATGGTGGGTACCATTGTTACCTGGACGCGTGACCACCTCATGTTTACTTTAGTCGATGTACGTAGTGGAATCTGGAAGTGTTGAAATTGCAAAATCCTGTAAGTTGTTGACCAGCGGCGTATCCTTGACAGCACTCAAGGAATTTTAAAAGTACACCAATAGTGTAATAGTAGCTAGTTGTCAGCCAATAATGTGTATTTTGCTGGTGTGCATTTTTTCTCATAGTTATTGTGCTTTGACAGATCTGGAGGACTGCCAATAAAGATAATAATGCCAGTGGCGTAGTTGGCACAGTGCCGGGAGCTTATCATCGTCAATTGAAATGCCATGGATTGAATTTACAGTGGTGGTAACTTTTTCTGCTAGTTTTTTTTCTAGTTTATTTGTGTGCCTTCTATTAGCGTCATATTCGTGAGGGAACTATGTGACTGAAAGGTTAGTGGATACTGGCATAAAACACTTTTGTGTCAAAAAATAATGAAAAACACTTCGGTTTGAGTGAGAAATAAATTCCGACATTCTGCGCAGCAAGCAGCTATTTTAACGCGGAACCAAGAGATTCCTTGAAGACGCTTTTTGAAAAGAACCCTACACGAATGTCATAGGAGGTGTGTCCTTAACTCATGTATTTTTCGCGTCAGAAGCGCCAAATGGCGCCTGACATTAAAACATGGGATTTGCGCAATGAGCTATGGTTTAAAGACCCACCCATTACAAAGCACTCCGACATGTTTTATCATTATCCGGAGAAAAAAAAAGCATCCACAACGTGACTAGCTGCGTAAGCTCACGTGCTGCCTTACCGACGCGTTCAGTGGCCCTTCGCTCATTCTCAAAAAGAAGAATTGTGGTGGCACTTCACAGTTGTACTTGCAGTGATTAGTATGAGAGTTTTAAAAATAATAATGTTAGTCGTAGAGCCCTCTTTGCCGCATGGTCGAGGTGTTCATCGATAATCAAAGTGAGGCTACTGATATAGAAAGTGGATGCGAAAGGGGCCCTACGATGATATCGCGTCTCACTCTTGAGGTGAATCTCGAGCGTCCTCTAATTTTTGTGTGCGATGGAACGAGCCACCGACAGCTTCTCCGAAATTCCAAGTGTATTTCCGCTCTGCAGAAATCTAAGTAAGAAAAATGACATGCTAGCACACTTTGTTGCCGCTTTCATGTGTGATTTACCGCATATAAGCGGCACTGAGTTTATCACGTGCCTTGACCATATGGTAATATATATCTAATTGAAAGACAGCATTTAAGAGCGCGAAGAGTGTACACAAACCAGGGGACGTAGCAGTAACTGGTGAAAGAATGTGCGAAAACTTTTTTGAGGATTGGGCACGTCGCATCATAAAGGAACGCCATTAGAACTAAGAATTATAACGTTTAGTGAGCACACAAATTACACATTAATCAAAATAAATCAGGATACTCATACAGATGAATCAAGATTACGAGTAACAATTTCTGCGGACTTGCCGATGAACGATGAACAGAAGGATCAGTTAGCGATTTTCACCGGTTAGTCATCATGACAGTCTTGTTAACGAACTCTGTTACATACTAGTCCCGCTTTATTTCCACGTCTAACATTGTTTTTTGTGCAAGTTTATATCGTGTGCAGTATTATTCAGTTGTCCTATGGTATGAAATAGCCGCTGTCTATTCGGCTTTCGCAATGACAGAGCATTAAATTTACAAAACGAAAGCCTTTCACATTCCTTGCATGCCGGTGCAGCATGAGCTGTATGCCATGCATATAAATACTTGACCGGCAAAGCCAGTTTCCTTTACGCGTAGCACTGGTATGAAGTTGTTTCGTGGTTCGGGAGGCAAACAAAGAAATATATGCAACAAAAAGGGAGCAACGAGTAGCAGTAGTGGTCGTAAATCTCGCAGTGGTGCAACAAATTATACAGAAAGAAAAAAGAAAAGCTACACGAATGCAGGCAAATGTCAACAAGCGATCTACTTACAACGTAAACATGCATCTAACTTTAAGGTGAGTACACAATTACTCGTTTTTTCTAGATGAATACTTTTTCCCAAAACGGCACTAATATTATGCTGACTATTCGAGGAGTGACATTTTCTTGGAAGCATTAGGGAAATAACGTAAGTAAAGAGATAAATAATTAATCAAGCAACAAAAAATCTTGAGCGATAATCCGCTAAACTCTGTGGACTAAAAACGGCAACACAATAACGTCCCAAGTCATTTGCCGACTGACGCGTATATGATTTCTTGGTAAAAGAATACTTTTTGAGGTCTTCGAATGACTGATGCACCGTTATGCGGTACCTGGAGACCTGAAGAGAGTATCAAACACTTTTTGTGTAGTTGCCCTCAACAGCAGAAATAATCATTTTAGCGGATGGAACAGCGCAAAAGACTGAGCGCGGGAAAAAAATGAAGGCACAAACAAAAGCGCTGTTCTTCTTTACAGTGTAACTTGTATACGGCTAGGAGAAACGAACATCCATCCGGCATCGCTGTCATGAGTGGTCTCGACTGGCTGTCTTATAAGTTACGTCGTTACGAAGCACGCGCGCGATTGGCTACGTCGTGAGCGACGTCTTCTCAGCCGTGGCACTGAGCCGGCACGTAACAGTTTCTCTTGAGGCCTACCCGCCGAGTTGACTGTCGATGTCAGACGCTTACAGCAACGCAGTGTCGCGTTGTCAATGTGATGATTGGAGGAGCGCGTTCGCCGGGGTGAAGGCGGCTTCCGGTGGGAATTTCTCCAGCGGCACATTGGCTTCGATTGCGACGTCTGTGACCACCTGTTGTTCGAGAAATACCACCCCTCATTACATTCCTGTATGACCGTGAACATGGGAGACACAGTGAGCGGCATGTGAAAAAAAAAAAAGAAACACTGGTAAACCCGAGTGAAAGGTTTGTCGAATCCCATTAGGAAGCACGAAAATGTAACTAGTAATTGTGAAACGCTTCAGTGCCACGTCGTATTGAACCCACTACTAAACGCCGCATCCGCGCGCTTGAGCTTGCGCTGGTTAACAATGTGTGTGGAGGGCTTAGTATACTGTATTATTATGTAAAAATTTAAACGTTGTACGTATAGTGTATATATATATGATCCCACTATAACACGTCTTTGTATCATGATAAGAGGGGGCAAAATGTACAAAGGATGCACGGTTTACCTCCAGAGCTTCGACCACTGATCAGAAATCACTACGTGGAGATGCGGGTATTTTTTTTGTATTGTGCCCTGTATTTTGCAATGTTTTTGTATCCGCCATGTAATACGAACACGCCCAAGCATCCGCTTTAATCCTTTTAAATACCGCGCAAAGCCAACTCGACGTTTAGAAGAACATTTTAAGTTAATTCATAACCACCATCATTACAGTGACTCGACATTTACAGAGTGTGTTGAAGTTATGAAAGGCTATTTGTGCGCTGCAGCAGTTTATGAGGAATTATATTACCTTATTGTGTGTTCGCGCAGAGCGCAAAATCTCCCATTTTACACCCTCTGTTTCCCCATTAACCACGGTTGCTACCTTCTGCGAATAGAAGCAAATATCGCTTGTCAGACCGACGTTATTGTTTGCTTCCTCATGCCAACTGGACGTTTCCGACCAACGAAAGTTAGGGGGGGGGGGAGTGTTGAAATCAAACTTGCTTCACGATTTCCTTTTCGACTCATGGGGGCCGCTATCTTAGACTGATAAGGGTTTGTTTTGTAGATTTTCTATGTCACAATATGAAATGAGCATGGTCATGAAACGTTGAATGTACCGGCAAAGCGATTTCGTGCGGGTGAGTTCACCGTAGCACTGTTTGTTTATTTGATACGAATACCAAATTGCAACGTTGTTAGTCCAAGATGGCGGCGTTTGAGCGCATTTGGAAATCTGAGCTCACCTATGCTGGTGCATTTTCTCTCTCATCCGCTAATTAGTCCTCATTGAAACGGAAATTCAAAACTGGTTTCAATGGAAAGTTTGCAGTTGTGAGTTATCGCGAAATTCCGAACCCTTGAGCCTATAAGAAGCAATTTTATTCCAGCATTCGGCAAGTTATCTAGGCGGGTGTCGCTTTTTCTTTTGAGGTAGCCATACGCGTGTTTCAATGTTTCTTTTTAACCTTAGTGACAGCTGGAAGAAATATTTGCTCCTTATTAATGCATATGGTCCTGATTCACATATTTTCTTTCTATAGTCTGAACGTCATAAATGATAAATTCACGAACGGTGTGGAGTCAATGTTTCTTCTGCAATTCCTGCTATGTTAATTAACGTTAACGCATAAGCTATTATGACAACTACTAGGAGGGGAAAGAGTATTGTATATCCCACGTGCATCAAGTAAGCTAGGGGAAACTAAGTTTTGTGGGCATTGAGATGTTCTGCACTTCTACGGTATGATCATGCTTGTACTAATATTCAGAGCATCCAACCAGAAATATCACGCGGTGCTTAATAATGCAATGTGCTCACCAGGAAAGTGAATGGGGTATTCCAACTGGCCAGTGATTTATTATTATATATAAACTTCGCCCCTCTTTGTATGGTATTAGTAAGGCTGTAGAAGTTTGGCGCCCATTCCCATATAAAGTAGAGGAGCATCAAGCGTCAAAGCACATGCATTGGCCTTACTGTTGGCTTGGATAACTGGCACTGCATGCAGCACCATTTGAAACTCCACAATAGTCGTTCAACAGAGTATAAGGATCACAGTAAACGAAACTTGTGACCACAGTTCCTAAAAATATTATATCAGGTCTTTTTTTTTCACCCACAGCACCCGTTCAAGCAAGTGGACCATGTACTCGTCGACAGCTGCATTTTTATTGACCCTTCTTATGCCTACTGTACTGTCAGATGATTATGTTGTCGTCAGCACAGCGGAAGGAAAAGTCCGTGGCCTACGCGAAAATGTTCTTGGAAGAGACGTAGACGTATTCCTCGGAATTCCGTTCGCTGCTCCCCCCGTCGAAGAACTGCGATTCCTGAAGCCTCAGCCGGTATCAGCCATGGGAAGGTGTTTACGACGCAACAACCGCCAAAGATTCCTGCATGCAACCGAGGGTTCCCTGGATTTTCGATATCCCCACAGATCTCTCCGAGGACTGCCTACATCTAAACGTGTGGGCACCGCATGCATCAAATGCAATGAACCTGCCTGTCTTAGTGTGGTTTTACGGCGGAATTTTCAAACTAGGCTCGGCGTATGAGACCCGGTACAATGCTGCCCCATTGACCGCACTTAACAATGTGGTTGTCGTGTCCTGTAATTTTCGCTCAGGAATGTTTGGGTTTTTCGACGCCAACCACTGAAGGGGCTCCAGGAAACGTCGGCCTGTGGGACCAGCTGATGGTGATGGAATGGGTTCAGCGAAACATCAGAACTTTTGGAGGAGATCCCGAACTTGTGACACTGTTCGGCGAGAGCTCCGGTTCTATGGCTATCCACCTGCACCTCATGTCACCCTTTAGCGCTGGTCTATTTCACCGAGCGTTCTTTATGAGCGGCACTGAAAGCACAGATATGGACATTGACTCAATTGCCGAAAGCATGCAAACTGGTAATGATGTTGCCGAAGTGCTCGGCTGTGCGAATCATTTACAGAACCTGACCACCAGTCCGGATGAAGTGCTGCAGTGCCTTCGAAAGTCATCTGCCAGTGACATCACTGAAGCTACAGAAAATGTCACGTCGCCGAATATGTTTGCATTTCTGCCCACCTTCAGCACTGAATTTGTGCCCTATATGCCTTCTTTAGCTACCGAAAAGGGCTTTTTTCGTGTCGTAGATGCGATGGTTTCAGTAGTAGAGAATGAAGGCGTGTTTGCCTTCGTTATGCAACCCGACAAGAAGCTCTTGCAGGACGACCTTTCGGGGTACGATTGGGAGGAATTCATACCAGCCATCATTGCTGTGCTAGGAGAATTTGTCAAAAGCAGTATTTTCCCTGTGGGGCTCCAGTACTTGGAAAATTCACGAGTGACAGACAAGGCAGCGTTTAGGCAGGAAGCGGCAGACTTTGTCGGAAAGTGTCACTTTTACTGTTCCAGCAGGGTGTTTGTTGAAAATTACTCGGCGAGAAATGGTCAAGTTTACGGCATGGTATTCTCACATCGATCTCAGAAGTCGACAGCTTCCCTAAATGGACTAAAGTGATACATATGCAGGAGATTCCATACTTCTTTGGAATACCCCTCTTGGACTTCGTCAATTACGATGAAGAAGACCGACAGGTTAGCGCAGAGGCCATGAGGATGCTGGCTTCATTTGCTCAGAACGGGTAAGTACGCGGCGCTTTACATTTATGACAGCCTCTTTCATGAATATTCTTCTATAGTGTTAGATGTCGTAATCATACCATGCATATTATCAAACAGTGCAGTTTTACTAAGGAATAAATTTTAGCTCCTGAGGTTGTTCAACGTGACCAAATTCTGGGTGCCCTACTAGCGAAAGCACACTTCTCCACTACCAATTTCTGTTTGTGGGTAATTTTGATTAAGGCACTGCTGTGACAGTCCATGAATTTGGCTCAGATGTGCATTTAGTGGTCTTACCGTTAGGTGATCATTGTTATTGGCACAGTACATGGTAAACAGCAAATACTGCATATTGATGGTGACGTCGAGGGGAATGTCATAAGCGAAATAGATGAAAATAGCAGAGACACGTTAAACTTTCTGTTATCAAGTCAAAGCAACGGTCAAAGAAGTGGAGGGGGGGGGCATGAGTTAAATTAAATGACTTGAGCGTCCTCTGCATGTCTTTCACGACTGTCAATGTAGCGTCATCGTCCCCTCATCAATATTCTTTTGCGCAGTAAACCGACTGCACCCAACGGCACACGATGGACGCCATTCTCGACTGAAGAGCCCTACTTCATGTGGCTGGAGCCAGGGAACTACGAGATGAGAAAATTTTATGATGGCGATGCGTGCGACGTATGGAGAAAGCTTTAGAATTATGACCATGTGAACTCAGCTGCGTGGTGATGACACCTGGCACCACGGATATAAAATGCTTTTACAGATTAGTAAAAGTAATGCTTCTCGAAAAAACCACTTTGGTAAAAAGAAAACCTACTTGGTTAGGATAGACAGGTGCTAGCTTTCACAAAAATATTGGACCATTGTCAAAAGAGCATTCAAGACATAGCTCTTTAGTACAATTTTCAGAGAAATAAAAGAAATACCCCGACGATACTAAGTCTCATGAAAATGATTGCCCAAATTGTTAATATTTAATCGACAATTTCTATAATTATCATTTCACATTCTTTGTGTTTTTGAGTATGACCCCCTCCTTTTATGGAAACATGACAGCTAAATTCGAAATGTGGTTGGGACACACACACACACACACACAAATATATATATATATATATATATATATATATATATATATATATATATATATATATATATATATATATATTTTGTTGTGTTCTTTTAAAGTTTGATGTTTCCTTACGGTTTTGTCGCGACACGCACCCTCTGTAACCCCCCTTACACAATGCCCTGCAACAAGGGCCTGTAAGGTATTTTTAAATAAATAAATAAATAAATAAATAAATATATATATATATATATATATATATATATATATATTTATTTATTTATTTATTTATTTCAAAATACCTTACAGGCCCTTTTGCAGGGCATTGTGTAAGGGGGGTTACAGAGGGTGCGTGTCGCGACAAAACCGTAAGGAAACATCAAACTTTGAAAGAACACAACAAAAAATAACGCGTTATATGTCACTAAAGAGAGAATGTACAAAAAGTCAATTGAAGTTACACATCGGAACATTGCTGGTGGGAGGAGAACAGATGTCCGCAATACACTTACTAAAAAACACCTAGTACACACGTAGCCAAAAATATTTTAGAGCAGCGCGCAGAAAGCAATTTGTTCTTGTTTAAGAAGTACAGGATAATAAAGGGCGATAAGAGAGTTTTTCTCGTGTGTATAAGAATATTATAAAGTAGGAAAATGCAGGCGGTCACAAAAAAAAACAGGAGGAAATGAAAAAAAAAACGAATGAATATAATTACACTGGAACGGTACAGGAGGTGCAACAAATACTTGTAAAAAGGAACCTTGTTATACTTGTAATATATATATATATATATATATATATATATTATCAGCCTGACTACGTCCACTGCTGGACAAAGGCCTCTCCCATGTTCTGCAAGTAAACTCGGTCCTGTGCTTGCTGCTGCCAATTTATACTCGCAACCTTCGTAATCTCATCTGCCCACCTACCCTTCTGCCTCCCCCTAACCCGCTTACCTTCTCTTGGAATCCAGTTAGTTACCCTTAATGACCAGCGGTTAACCTGTCTACGTTCCACATGCCTGGCCCATGTCCATTTCCTCTTCTTGATTGCAACTATGTATCCTTAACACTTGTTTGTTCCCTAATCCACTCTGCTCTCTTCTTGTCCCTTAGGTTTACGCCTACCATTTTTCTTTCCATTTCTCGCTGCGTCGTCCTCGGTTTAAGCTGAACCCTTTTTGTAAGTCTCCAGGTTTCTGCTCCATAGCTAAGTACCGGCAAGATGCAGCTGTTATATACCTTCCTCTTGAGAGATAGTGGCAATCTACCTGTCATGATTTGGGAGTGCTTGCCAAATATGCTCCATCCCATCCTTATTCTTCTAGTTACTTCAATCTCGTGGTTTGGCGCTGCGGTTATTATCTGCCCTAAGTAGACATAGTCTTTTACAACTTGAAGTGTACTGTTACCTATCTCGAAGCGTTGCTCTTTTCCAAGGTTGTTGTACACTACTTTCGTTTTCTGCAGACTAATTTTAAGACCCGCCTTTTTGCTTTCATTGTCTAGCTCCGTAATCATGAGTTTCAATTTGTCCCCTGAGTAACTCAGTAATGCAATGTCATCAGTGAAGCGCAAGGTACTCTCCATTAACTCTTATCCCCAACTGTTTCTATTCTAGGCCTATGAAAACCTCCTGTAAGCACGTGGTAAATAGCGCTGGGGAGATTGTATCCCCCTGCTTTACACCCTGCTTGGTTGGTATTCTGTTGCTTTCTTTATGAAGCAATATAGTAGCAGTTGATCCTCTGCAGCTTTCTTCCAGGATGTTTATATATACTTCATCGACGCCCTGATTCAACAGTGTCTGCATCACTGCTGATATTTCTACTCAATCAAACGCCTTCTTGTAATCTATGGAGACTAAGTGTAGTGGTGTCCTATATTCTGAGAATTTCTCTATTACTTGATGGATAGTATGAATGTGGTCGATTGTTGTGTAGCCTGTTCGGAATCCTGCTTGTTCCTCTGGTTGATTGAATTCTAATGTTTTCTTTACTCTGTTAGCAATTACCATTTAATAGATTGTATACTACAGAGAGCAACCTGATCGGCCTGTAATTTTTCAAGTCCTTGTCTTCTACTTTCTTATGTATTAAGATGATGCTAGCATTCTGCGAACACTCTGGTACTCTTCCCGTCAGGAGGCACCTCGTAAACAAGGTGGCTAGTTTTTCTAACACAATCTGTCCTCCATCTTTCAGGAGATCTGATGTTACCTGGTCCTCACAAGCACCTTTACCTCTTTGCATGCTCTCCAAGGCTTTTCTGACTTCGTCTATCATTACTGGTGGGGTGTCATCTGGGTTACTGCTAGTTCTTAAGGTATTAAGGCCGGGGTTGTCCCGGCTACTGTACAGGTCTCTGTAAAACTCCTCCGATTTTTAAGTATCCTATCCATATTGATAGTTATTTTGCCTTCCCTTCTTTGACCGACAATGCGGAATGCGACGTCTGCTGCACCAAAGAAGACATCGACCATCTGATATGCCATTGCCCTCGATTTGCTTCTGAAAGACAGAAGCTTTCGGATGCAATGCGACAATTGGACGATCGGCCACACTCTGTGCAGATGCTACTGGAACACCGTCATCGCCTTTCGTCGGCTCAAAAAGCAGTTAAAGCTGTCTTGTGCTTTTTGAGGACTACAGGCCTCTGTGACCACCTTTAACTTTTGTGTAGTGCCACCGCTGCATACGCGGCAGCCGATTGACTGACAATCCTCATTTTCTCTCTCTCTCTCTTCTCTTTCCTCTCTCTCTCTCATCTTTATGTCCCTTTCCTATTCCCCCAGCGTAGGGTAGCAAACCGGGCATGTGCCTGGTTAACCTCCCTGCCTTTCCCTCTTATTGTTTACCCCCCCCCCCCCCCCTTGCCTTCTTTGTTCCTCAGTGCATACATCTGATTTCTGCCTATCCCAAGTTTCGTCTTCACTGCTTTGACGCTTCCTCCGTTTTCCAGAGCGTGTTCAATTCTCTCCATGTTATACCTTCTTACATAGAATACCTTACGCTTATTAATCAATTTAGACAGCTCTGCTAGTTCTATTTTGTCTGTTGTACTTGACAATTTCATGCTTTGATGCTTTTTAATGAGGTTTTTTGTCTCCTGGGACAGCTTGCTCTTGCCGAGAGCATCAAACGCGTAATTCGAAAGTCCTGCCCACGGCAAGTTATTTTTTCACCGACATTTCTTTCTTCCTATTTACATTACATTTGTTCTAATAACTTCCTCTATATCTTCCTTGGCATTATTGTCTGTTAGATCTTATTATTATTGTGCCAAAACACGGAAAAACGAGCCCTTAGGTATACACTTCTTTCCCATATATTATATATATATATATATATATATATATTATATATATATATATATATATATATATATTATATATATATATATATATATAGTTTTAACGTTGTCCCTTCACATATATTTTATGCCTAGAAATAGCTTTAAAAATATGAAAAGCCTGTTTAAATAAATCTCTAATCTTAAAGGACACTCCTTTCTGTTTCATTTAAAAAGAAGACTTTTCTGTTATCACTCTTTGCAGAACCGAACATGGACCCCAATTGGTTGCGGTAATTGTTTGCTTTACTTGCTCAAAACACAGCGCAGTAGCAAAATATAACGAGAGAAACGCAGTATAAGAGATATTAAAGACAGTTCCTTTAAATAGCTGTTGCGAATATAAATGCTGTACTAGAAAAGGAATGTCCAATTTCTATTGTTTTTTTTCGTTTTTATTGTTCTGTTGCTTTGAACCAATCAATTAAAAAAAATTTAGTTTAGCGATCGGGTATTAGTTCTTATTTATACATTTATGTATCTTTATGGTGGTAATTATTTGTATCAAACAATGTTTCAATTGTCAGAACCTTTACTTTTTGTTCATGTACGTAGCTTATTGGTTGATTATTGTGATAAAATTTGCAGCTGG